AATAGTGTACTTAATAGTGTATTTGCAGAATCCGTATGTCACGTCCAGATACATACATTCCTTGTAAAAAATCTGTTTATGCTTATTCTGATGCGTATCATTCAAAGAAGGACAGTCTACTTAGTCGATAGATATCTATCTACTAATAGCTTTAATTGACGTCAGAATATCTAATCCCGCTAGAAATGATAGAGAGTATTTGTCCGTTCTCTATTGCATAATTTTGTCACGCGAATTTTAAGCTGCCCTCGTGTTAAACTATAGTGGGAGATACAGGTTGACTTACTCTGAGTTGAAAACGTACTATCCATCAGAAATATCTCAGTGATGTATTTCATGTACACAAGAACCCTCAAACAACACACCTCTGGATCATCTCGGGCGTCGCTCCTCAACCAATAATACTCGTCCGTTCTCGTGTCATTAAATTGTGAGAGCTTGTGTGGCTTCTTCTCTGCGGATGGGACGGCGACATTAAGATCGCTAAACCTCTCGATGGGGAAGGGCATTATATTTTTGAACTATTTGAGGGTATGTACAATGAACTGTTGTAAATAGAGCTGTTTGTTGTGACACCTTGTCTCTCGTGTGTATTTATTAGTGTTGCTACTTTTCTTTGAATTTTTCTTTGAATTTTCGGGGGGGGCAATATCCTCGTAAAAATTGAACGGAGGGCTATGGGGATTTAGGGGTGTTTCAAACTTCAGTGGAAAAAGTCAGGCGAGTTTTAAAAAAATATTTACTTTTATTTTACAATATCCATAAGCCACCTTGTTCAATTTAGGAGGCTATGCAATATCAGTTAATACATATTTATTTATTTATACACAAGTTAAAACATATTTGTTATATATATTTTTCTTTTTGAAAAACACAACAAATTGAAGTCGTGCTTTTTATTTTATAAATTTCATAGTATTTTTATATATATAATTTGCTATAATAAAAAAGGGTTCAAAATTCAAGATTTCGATACCCCATAGCGGCATATTTAGCCTCATAGGGCATAGACCATTTGTCAATTTAGAAGGCTATGCATAGCCCATAGGGTCAGCACTTTTCGCTATGACGACATGTTAAGACCGTAGGAAACTACTTCTCTATGATCGATACCCCATAGCGGCATATTTAGCCTCGTAGGGCATAGACCATTTGTCAATTTAGAAGGCTATGAATAGCCCATAGGGTCAGCACTTTTCGCTATGACGACATGTTAAGACCGTAGGAAACTACTTCTCTATGACGACACGTCCGGACGCTATGTCTTTTATTACATTCAGAATTCCGATTTACGTCATGTTATTCTCCTAAGAAGACATCTCGACGGATCGGACACTAGTTTGCTAAGAAGACGCGTCTTTGTCATATATGACGCCAGCCTATATGTCCAACGCTGAAGTCACACTACTAAAAGAGTTTGACTAAATAAAATTGTCTATGCGCATTGGGCTGTGGCCTATAAATATCAGTGGTGTAAGAAGCCTAGCTCGTTGACCGTAATGAGAACGTTGAGATAATACTAGATGCTATTTCTGGCACAAAGAATGTACGCCAACAGAGCCGACATATATAGCTCGGAAGTACATTGCTGTGCGATGTGTATGTGAGTACATATGTTTTTCTTCTAATAATACATTCTATTATATTTGTGTATATATTTATGTGCAAATTTGACACAGAGATGGCACTGGTGTACGCGGGTCGGTGTAAAGTTCCATTAGCAACTAGTGGTATTATCTCCACTTAAACTACTATAATTATAGAACCAGTGGAGTGAGCTTGCTAGGCACACCTGTAATACAGTAATCCATGTCATATAGTAGTCCTGCCTTGATAGCGTTATTATTTTTTGTTAAAATCGGGAGCCAGCCAAAAGTTTTATACTAATCCCGACCATAGCCTTATAGATTGAATAAAAGACTATGTCCTGACCGTGGATAAGAAATAATATCCACTTATATTCACATTTTAAAACTAGTAAACAATAGAAGAAGACGGCGCACGGAAGATTAGCGGCGTCAAAAATAAGGTTAGAGCCACGATAGAATCTTTTTTGCGCAAATGTTTTCCAGTTTTCCAATAGGGAACGATATATGCAAAATGGTTGGAAGTGAGGCGATCAGTGCTCCTAGATGCTGATGGATGTTGGTAAGACAAATAAAACATTCATCATCAAACAGACAAACACGAAAGCATTTCAAGCTTTCTATTCTTCGTTTCAGAAATGGAGGTCGAAGCTGTTCAGTTATTTATCATTCTATATCAACATGTATTCAACACCAGTCTCGGCCTTTTGAGAGCAGAATGGCAGTGGCAATCAGATAAGAGTTAACCAACTGCAACATGGCATACGAACTGTTTCTGCACTCTGCAGTCTGCACTCTGTATTCTGCACTCTGCACTCTACACTCTGCAGTCTGCACAGTGCATACACATCACATTGAAATTTGAAAGTGCCGTGTCTGCGTCCACAATAACTATTTATTTTCTATTTTTTGAACAAACCACATGAGCACATGACGTTGATACAGTCCCACCAATGAAATCACATACGCTTTCTAATCTGATACCACCCATGTGGCCTCTGGCCATTAGCATAGATACTACCACTCCAACAGTCGCGTGATGACTGTTGAGACTTGAGACTTGACAAGTGTCTTTCGAGTTTTGAGCTTTTGAGCCATGGGCTATGTACATACATTTATTTTTATTTTTTAAAACAACAATATATGTACGAGACAGTACGACCTATGGGCCTAAGGGCTACGGCCCTATGTAGGTTATGGCCCCTTATTGGGGCTGACCGGTTGACCGCTGATTTCGGAAACCTGTTCCATAAAAACTAGTTTGTTTATTTTGTGTGTGTTTTTATATATTTATATATTATTTGTTTTTTTGGTTTTTTTTGGTTTTTTTAAAAAACGAACCAACAAAAAAAGAACAAACAATTACATTTATAAAAAAAATACAAATATATTTATTTATTTTTATCAAATTGTATGGGGTTTTTGGTATAATTTAGTTTTCCCCTCGAAAATCAAAAATGGCTATTGTCCACATTTTCACATTGCTCTTGCCGCTCTTTCTCCAGAGAGAGTGAGAGACGTCAGACTTTGTAGACGTTCATTCTCTCTCGTTTTGCGTCTACTCTTCAAAGAGAGAGTCCCTGAGTGAGTCTTTGACTCTCATTGACTCTTATGTCTACACTCTAATATCTCTTCTCTACTCTTGAAGCTAGGCTCACGACAGTCTCGAGCCTACTACTGTACTACTAGCTACTACTACTAGCTAGTAGAGAGAGTAGAGAGCGGGTGCCGGGTGTTGACCGTTGGGCTACTGAGTGCTGACCACGCCACAGACAAATCTATAGAGCACCCAGAGTCCCAGACCTCAGAAGTCAGATGAGAACTTGCGTACAAAGATGGAAAACTAGGAACCTCTGATGTTTATTCGTGAGATATTTATATTTTGTATTCTCATCCCTTCATCAGTCATCATTGATTCATTAGTGAGTATTTTATTTTATAATTTTCAGTCCGATCCTGAGGACCTGAGCTCAATGCGTTAACCGTTACAACCTTTAGTACATACCGATATAAGCGTTAAAGTTCAATTATTATTACTTGCAGTCTCCAGATGAGGCTGTTGAGCGCGCCAAATATGACCGGGCTCCGAGTTCGTATTTTCTATTGGCTATGCCAACCGAATAATATACATATTCAGTTTGTTTTCACTTTCCGGCAGTATCCACAACTCATTTCCTCGACTTCTCGCCCATTAGCACCGTACAATCCGCTTGATATTTGCGGAATCAGTTTGTTGATAAATCCACAGGCGCAAAATTGTAGTCAAAACTCGAAAGTCAAAACAGGCCGTCGGTTGGGAATTGGGATATGTGTTATCAAAATCATGGCGAGCTTATGATTAGTCGACAATCTCAATTTAGCCCACATCGTGGATTTTAGGTGCACATTCGAAGTGCAGTTTATAGTTTCGATGAGCCACATAACCGTTTTAAATATATAGAACATGAGAATAGGCGTTAAATTCAATTTTTATTCAGCATACACATCGCGTAGTGAGCTTAGGTCCGATCTCTCCTCTGATCTCTCTATCTCCCCTTTCTCTCTCATTTTAAGTGAGTGTGTGAAATAAATGATATTACTAAAAAAATTATATAGCGCATAGAAAACAATTTTTAAAAACAAGCAAAAACAAAGTACACATATTAGCCTTCTTCTATTTAAAAAAAAAATTACAGATGAACAAAACTATAAAGAAAAAAAGCAATGCCTTTTTTGTTTGGTTTTTTAAATATATATATATATATAAGTGTGTGTTGTTTTACCGTGTGTATGTGTGTGTGTGTGTGTGTGTGTGTTAGTTATATATATATATACTATATATATATATATATATATATATATATATATATATATATATATATATATANACACACACACACACACACTATACACACACACACACAC